CAGGAAAGATTAAGGCTTTTCAGCTGGATATTTGAAACCTCTAGCGAAAGGAAAATAGGCAATATCTGCTCTCAGGCGTTCAGCAAAGGCCGTGGAGTCAGCGTGTTTCCCCAACGTGCAACACACAGCTCGCTCGGGCTACCAGCGCCTCCGCAGCACCTAACTCTGCAGAACCCAGGGGAGAGGCCATCCGAAAGGATCTTCCCAATAACGCTGTGAAGGTCATCAGGGGAAAATTAGTGTAATCAGATGCAGGAGGTTGTTGCTCTTAAAAGTTCTTTAGGCCCAACGGAAATCTGACAGGACGTGGTTTTTCATTTCGTTCCCGACACGGGTTGAAGCAAGAGATGGGAACGTTGGGGAGATGGAGCCTGCCAGAGCGGGAACGGCCCTTTAGGTCAGCATATGGAACATGCTGGACTCGTATTCGGCAAAGCGGACACGGCTATGGGAACCTGCGTTGTGGGCATCTGACACCCCGGCTGACATTTGGGGTTTGAAGCCTTGCCCCCTGTGCTTTGTTGGAGGAGGGTGGTTTTCATTTGCGCCTCATGTTTTCCCAATTAAGAGCTGCAAAGCACTCATTAAAATTGTAACAAAGAAGTTCAGCCAAGTCCTGAAACATTTTGTAGCAATACTGCCACATACAGATGTTGCCACATACCCAGAAAAATGCAGTGTAATTCTTTTTGGCGGCCCTGGAAATGCTTTTCTCAATTGCTCTTATGAAATAAATTGTTGTCATTTCAGGTTACTTTGCCCTGAAACGACCTGCCCTCAGGCAGGAGAGGCACAACGTGCTGTGCTCAGGATTTCGGTGCTCACCTTTGGTCCGACATTTATGAGATGCAAACCCTGAAATATCTGAAGAGAAATCTTCGTTTTCAGATTATCAGTCTAGATTTAGCTTCTCAGTCTAACCCAAAGAAATCCAAGAAGGAAAACTCAAGATATAAATATCATTAAAAACCTCTTTGGCTACCTTAGCACTTCACAGAGAGACTCTGGTTTTTGGGTTTTTTCCTCCCACCCGTTAAAATTTGCTTTAAAAGAGTAAGAAACCAACAGTTAAAGTGGTCAGACGTTCTGAGGCACAGAGAAAAAGGTGCATAAATATTGAGATGAGAGCTTACACAGAGATGAGACTGTGCCCCAAATAATTTAGAAGTTAATTCCCTGCACGTTAAGAGGCTAAGAAAAATGTTGTTCTACATTTCTCAAACACAAAAAACACCCCCCCACACAAAGAAAAGGAGGGTTAATACTAGCAAGAACAGAAAACACCACCAGAGGTGACATCTCACAGAGGGATAACACACACATCCAGATATGAAAACAGCCACTGCAGGATTTGTAACAAAATACAGTCAGAGATAACTCAGGACCATCCTTCTCAGCAGAGGGACAGGATTTGCAGCACAAGTGATCCTACAAGGATCCACAGCCTTCCAACTGCTTCCTGTGCTGCTCCGTAGTCATTCTAATAAATACCACTAGTTCATAATTACCCGCTTCACTCCCAAGCCCCACTCTTCTCCTCACAGCAGACTATTCTGCATCGTGGGTGGAAAAACATTTCTAAAGCCCCACTCATAGCTCGTAATTCTGCGAGATCAGCATCACTGGAAATCCAGGAGGATCCTACCCCATCGGTACATCTGTCATTTGCCACCAGAAGTCTTTTACTGCACAAAGACTACGACAACAATTCACAACGATCTAGTTGAAAAGGGAGATGTAGGAACAAGTAAGGACAGACACGGGACAGAACAATTTCCAGAGTGCATTTAGAGAATAACACAGTTTCAGCTCCTGATGAGTGTCAAGAATTCTTCACGGGTCTTTGGATCTTCCCGGAATACCCCCAACATTGTGCTGGTTACTGTTTTACTGTTCATTTTCTGTACCCCACGCATTACCATGCACATGTGCCTAGAAGAAACGAGAGGGGAGTCAGTAAACCAGGCATACTCAAAAGAAGTAATCCTATGAAGAGAGGTGTTTCTTATGCTGTCACGGTAAACCCTGGGAAGTGACAGAACCTCCTTATCCAGATCTGTCACTAGTACCTCAGCTCTCCTCCACGGAAGAGAAAGGCAAATTCCCAGACCCTGAGCGCTGCTTGCTTTCCTCAGATCCTAGGAAAATACCACTTTTCCAAGGTGTGTTCTGATGACAGGGACATGCCTGTTGCTAGTCCCCAGCTTTGCTTTCCTTAAGGAAGTAGAGGGTGTGCTGAGGCAGAGCACAGGCCCAGCGCAACTGGGACCACACGGGCGGTTGCCCCATCTCTGCAGCGGGTAAGGCAGGTCCCCAGTTTAAACAGCTCCAACCCCCCTGGGCCATTCTGCTGAGCGGGCAAGGATCACTCCTGCCCGCACTCTGCCTCACAAACAAGCTCTGCACACAGCTACCACCGCCACAGAGGTGACACGACAGCTCCGCAGCGGGAATCACAAGCAGCCCACCCCCTCCCAGGGAAAAGCTCCGAGCAACTTACGTAGCTTCAATAACCACTCCAACGCCAGCGGGCTGTAAGGCTTCTGTGATGGCTATTGCGATTTGTTTGGTAAGGCGTTCCTGCACTGGAAGGACAACGGGGAGTGAGACGCAGTGTTAATCCCGACCGGCATCAACACGCTGCCTCCACCTGCGCGCCAAATACAGGGGACAGCCACACCGCATCCTCGCTTCCAAGCATGCCCGTTCCCCACCACCACCCACCCAAGCACTGCTCTCCCTAAATGCACTTTATTAGCACAAAGTCCTATCTTACGTTTTCTATCCCAGACCTTTTATTTGCTTGTTTACATGGGGAGTCATTCTGCATCACACCTTCGTGGAACTGCGTCGCCGGGGTTTGTTCTAACAGCCCTTACATTTCCCAGCGTGCCGTTAAGATTTTTCTCACATCCCTATTTTCTTCCAGTCTTTATATATTTGTTTACTGGCTTTACTGCCGCGCTGCTCATTCCCTACAACTTTTTAATGGAAGGAAATGGAGATTAAAACTGAGCAAATTAGAAGTGTCTATTGTCCTGCAAAGCTTTACTTCCTGAGGCTCTAACACCCTCTATTCACTGGTCTGACACCTAATGGTCACTGAGGCTTCTGTCGCCAGGAACAGGCGGAATTTAACTGCAGGACAAGGAGAGCAGGCGGAGCCCAACCCCAGGCCTCAGATCCTGCAGCTTCCTCTGCTTCTCTGGAGCAGCGGACAGGCAGCCCATGCCACAGCAGCTCTTGCTTCGTCTCTTCAGACGAGAGGCCTTGAAGGCATCTCTCAAATTATCTGTAGGAGAGTTCATCTCCAGCAGCATCGAACTAGTTCAGTTATTCTTGGCGTCTTGTGGCACATTTATCCTCCAAATCAGTTACTGCCCACACCTATATTCATGGGCACATTTTACCCCGCCTTGGAAACAGAGGGGCTACGATGACAGCTGAGAAACCCGTTCAAGGACACAATGGTTTTCTTCACACCAAAACGTGCACAGCTGCAGTCCACCCCCAATTGCGAGTACCCGGAGCTGGCGAGCAACGGACTGCGCACCACAAACCCAGAGTCACCTGCTTACCTTGTAATCTTCTGCTGTATATTTCCACGATCCTACGGGAGAAGGGAAAAAGACAGTGTTATGCTCACTCCTATCCAACTGTTGTCTGACCTTCACAATGCACTTCACACTGTCAAATAAGGCCACTATAGGAATCCCTGGAAATCTACACATCATGGAATAGTTTGGGTGGGAAGGGACCTTAAAAGATCATCTAGTTCCAACCCCCCTGCCATGGGCAGGGACACCTTCCACTAGACCAGGTTGCTCCAAGCCTCATCCAGCCTGGCCTTGGACACTTCCAGGGATGGGGCATCCACAGCTTCTCTGGGCAACCTGTCCCAGTGCCTCCCCACCCTCTGCGGGAAGAACTTCTTCCTGATATCGGATCTAAATCGCACTCTTTCAATTTAAACCCATTACCCCTTTTCCCTGCCACTCCCCCCCAGCTTTCTTGTAGCTCCCCAGGCACTGGAAGGGGCTCTAAGGTCTCCCCGGAGCCTTCCCTTCTCCAGGCTGAACCCCCCAACTCCCCCAGCCTGTCCCCAGGGCAGAGGGGCTCCAGCCCTCGGAGCATCTCCGTGGCCTCCTCTGGACTCGCTCCAACAGCTGCTCAGCCCCTGGCTGGTGTTGCTCAAGAGCCTCCCTTAGCATACCGCGCTGTTCAGCAACAGGTTCCTCTGCCTGCCACCACACAGGCTGTTTCAGGGACAGACCTGTCACTTCTTAGAGCTTCTTGTGTTGGCTGTTACTTCTGAGTGACTTGTTCCACCACCCACCTACGTCATACAGTTGCAAGAGAATCCGTGCCCGAAGACTCCCTGAAAGCTAATCCTTGAACTGAGGTCAGACTACCTCCTCTTGCTTTAATCTAAACCAAATGCCGTTTTAAGGGCAATTCATATATTGGGATTCCCAGGCAGCTACTGAGATTAAGCAGGAGATGGTTTAGATTCTTGCATTTAACCATGGATTCAACTAAGAACAATGGGACAGTACAGTTTATATTTAAAACAGATACTCTTCACCCATATATCACACCATCCTTCACACCTCAGTGCCAGGATCACCTCGGTGCTCCTCTCGAGCATGACATTTATGGGGCAACACAAGCAATATTACCATCATTTATAACCCACACATTTAAGAAAAGTCTCATAACTGCTCTGTAGCTCAATGGGTTATTCGTGCCAACCTCAAATGTTTAATTACACATCAAGTGGCCATGTAAAGAAGTTGCTATAGAAAGCTTCAATCCTTGTCTGGTCAGACTAGACAAAAACCAGACACTGGCTGGCAGCCTGAGGCATTAGTTACAAGAAACATTTCTGACAATGAGACTCGCCTGCTGTTTTGAAGAGAGAATTATACGCAGAAAAGTCCCCTCCAGAAATGAAATGGTTGTGTTACAGCTGTTCTAAACAAAGCCACGTAAGACTTAGATTAAATCTATGGATAGGAAACAAGCTGATGCTGAGATGTTTTTTTATACTGGTGTTGCATGTAAGAAGTCCTATAAGCACATTTATGTAAAAAACCAGTTATTTGCATTAGCGTTTTCAAGACGGAGCTTAAAATCCAAGGAAAGATGTTTGTTTACTGAATACAGGTCATCCACAACTACGGAAACTCACCACATTAGACTAATCCTATTAGGAAAGATTAGGCCTACAGTACCAACAGCCTCACAAATCTTTGTTGGAACACTGGCTGCATTATAGAGGGCACGAAAGGGAAGCACTGTTTGGCCCACCGATCTCTTCACGGTAAGTGCTCAAAGCCAGCGAGGACTGAGAACATTTTGTTGTACAAGAATCTAATCTTTTCATTATTGCAGTGTCTATGGGACTTTTACCCCAAACTTGAAAAAGAGGCAAGATTTAACCTTTCAAACACGGCGCAGGAAGCCTTGCACATATTCAGGCACGTTTCTATACTGAGACTAAACAGTAGGAAAATTGCAGCATGTTGCCACTTGCATTACAAAAGAAAAATAAGACAGTTTTGAGGTCCTTTTTACATCTGCGGTTCAGAGGAAACTAGAGACCAGAGCAAGCCCAAATCAACCAATGCGTATTTCAAATGTGATCCTTACTGCTGCATTCAAGCCCTGCAGAAATGAAACCAAGTTCTGAAGACAGCCTCTTCAGGAAGGATGTTCGCCTTCAGAAATCCAACTCAAAAGAACCCCTCGGCACTTACAGATCCAGCCACGCAAGCGCCAGCCACCGCACGACGCAGGCCGTGAACTGCCCCACGGACATCCCCACGCATCAGCAGCTAGGGAAGGCCAAGTCTTTCGCCCAGCAACTGCGGCGCTGCCAGCTCAGAACCGCATCCTACGGTTGCAGCCATCAGGTACGGCCACAGAAAACGTAGGAAAACATTTAAATGTTTTCATCCTTTTAATGAGTAAAGCCTGCTCCCTGTAAGTGCTGCTAGAAGACATGAGGATGGCCTCCCTGTGGTATGAGTTACATAGCGAAGATGCGACCTCCAAGGTCCCTTCCACTTCCAAACCAAATTCACTGTTGTGCAAGCAGAGCAGAGAACAGAGCTTTAAAGCATTTTAGTGTCGGATCCTACATATCTCTTACCCGCTAAGAAAACCCAGCGGGCATGCAGATTTACAAGGCTAATTCTCATTAGTATTATTGGAACTACAGCAAGATTAACAGACCTTATCAGGGAAAGTATAAGCAAAACCTATGTGGTCTTTCTGAACCACCGCCAACTTGTCCGATGCATTCCTCAAAAGACCCTTCCACCCTGGCCCCCAGTAATCTGCTTTTGGAAGGGATTCACCATCCCCTTCCTCACCAGAACTAGAAAGTGTCACTAGATAACAAGGCTTGGTGGAACAACTGATCCAAGGGCAGCTGCTGAGGAAAAGCTATTTTACATAACAAATGGATTTCTCAAGTGTATCCTAATTGCTTTGTTTCTTAGGCTGAACCTTATCTATAAAATCTACCCCACGGCTCTCTCAGCAGTGAAAGAAAGAAATGCCAAATTTATCTGAAGAGTCAGCTACCAGATGAAAGCTTTAGATACAATTTCTATCCGTAGAACATGTTCATTTACAGACTGGAAATTTGGGATTTTTGTTCTTATAGGTCAACATACACAAGCAGTAAATTGCTAGAGATCCCCACCAGGTTTTGTGGCCTGCCTTAGAACATCACCAAATTCCCTGTTGTTCTGGTTCCTGTGCTCCCTGCAGACATCAGCACTTTGGACGAGGGTACAAAAGCGTTACAGCTCTACTCCAGTCCACGGATGTGAATTAACACAGAGCTCTGAGACTTATCTGTCCTCTCTGCAAAAAAACCGTAATGCTGAGGATTGGTTTAAACCCAAATCCAGGACACGAAGTGGGCTGAGCTTTAGAGGGGGCCCAGATTAGGAAGATTAGCACAGTTAGCACAGCTTGGAATCCTTTTTACAAATTAGCATCACTTTCATTACATTAACACTTACCTAGCAAGCTTGCTGAGGCCAAGGACTTGTTTGTTAGGGAGATAGCCAATGTGCACCTGGACAGAGGAGAACAAACCATTAACAGAACCAAAACCGCGCTCCCGAAAGCCTATGAGACTCATGCATTGAGAATGAGATGTGCATTTGCCCCAGAACTAACTCTGGAACAGTCCGGAAGTCCTAGCACGTGGGAGGAACATGCCACCATGCAAGCCTGGAGATTTGTGGAGCTAACGGAGACTGTGAATGCCTGGTGAGGTCAGTGTCCTGGTGAGGAATAGGTCAGTTTTCTGAGGGGGAGAAAAGTCACAACTCTTCAAGAGTCAAGGCTTATGTTTCCAAGTCTCAGGAATGTTCTACGACATTTGGGTACAAAAGGTGGTCTATTACTCAGCACAGCGCTGTTCATCTTAAACGTGCTTATCTTTCAAGACCTAAAATGGATTTAGGGAGGGAGAGGGACTACACTTCCAGTGAAAGTTCTGATGGCAAGACATACTTGGCCACCAAAATCAGGCTGCACTTACTGATTGGGGCTTCTTTTCCTGCCTTGGTAGCACCACAGATCACCGTGTGTAAGCCAACTTCCATCCTGCTCCAATATGGATTTGCCAAACACGTAGTGACACTAAGTTGGAGTAAGATCTTGAGAAGAAGAGTGCTCAGACACAAAGACAGGGGGAAAGCCATTGAGCTTTGTCTTCAGAAAGCAACACAGGCTACTGAATTCTAGGGGGTTTTACACTTATAACAGGTAAGCCAGCATCTGTGTCACTGTACCAGAGACTTGAAAAATTAGCCAAGCTACTGTAGGGGAGTGGCAGTGTAGGATTCTGTCTTAGCGCTTTGCCTAGAGGCCCCATCTCAGAATCCTGCATCGCTCTACCTGCAATTAGAGGTACCACAGTGCACCTAATTACCTGGCTAACTTGCTCATTCCTATCACTTCTGTTGGGTAATCAACCCACTGACACCTGAAAAGACAGGAAACATTTCAGATAAAGTAAGAGACATGACTTCGAAATAAGCATCGAATCCTGTCCCCCACTGAGTATTTTGGTGTATTTCTTAATTTCATTTAAAATAGAAGCGCTACTATGAGACCTACTGGTCAGCATTTGCAGCCTGTTTGATGTACCCAACAGGAGAATGGTTAGTTTGAGAATATTTAGAGGCACACCAAGTCATTTAGCAGGACCAATTCGGTATTTGCGAGGAGATTTCTCCAAACCACACAGGCTAAACAGCTAGATGTAAAGAGAATGCATATATTGCCACAGGAGTAATGGAGAGAATATACACAGTAGGTGTAACCAAGACTAACAGGCAAAATAGAAAGCTTGCACAGAACAAGAAGTTACCTTGTTTTCCAGTATAAAATACTAGCGGTAGGAAAAGAAAGCAGATGAAATTGAGTTGATTCAGCTAACAAAAACGGCTGGTTTCTGTTGGTGTATTTTAATTTGGGGAGACAGTTTACTCAGAACATACGTGGTACCGACTGAATTTTTAGACAAAAGCACTTGCTACTCTCTGGCCTGTGAGTGTTTTACAGTAGAACAGATGGATCAGAATAAGCTCCATCCTTCTGTGCCAACATGGGAGCGAAGGGGCCGAGATGTGCAGAAGGGACTAACCACTCTGAACTCTTCATCATGTTTACAGTGGTTGAGAATTTTTATTTTTGAAGTTGCTGGCATCACAATTTCAACACCATCTGAAACATCAGCCCCATTTCATGGGAGGCTCAACCCGAGCAGCCTCCTGCTAGTCGATTTTGACCACCCGCCCCTGACCGGGCTCGCTTATTTAAGCCAGGGCTGCTAATCGGAAGTTTGTTCCACTCACAGGGGGTTCCCAAGATGAAGGTGCACTAGATTGCTCTGAGCCAGAAGCTAAATCCATGACAGAGCCAGCGTGCGGGGTGAGCTGGTTTAATATCAAGATGTCTGCCCTCAAGGCTTCCTGCTGCTTCGTGAACAAGAGCTTTGATATTAAATGTCAGAAACCATTAGATTACTTAGACTAGGAAAGGTTGAGCATTATATTTTAGGAGCTTAAATCCAAATAAAACTCACATTAAGGAGGTCTTCCTTATTTGTATTCTGAAGATTAACTTCTAGAATCATAGCCGTAAGCAGTAAATACTTAGAACTTTAAAGGCTTTGTGGTTACAGCTACAGAGTCTTTTACATGTGCTTTAGGTCTTTTATCATGTATTCCCAGATTTGTTTTGGGAGGAAGAGTTACCTTTCCAACAAAGGGAACGAGGTGATGCTCACACAATGAGAACATGTCTATGTCCTTCACAATTACCATCTCATCATGATCTTCATCAAAGATGGCGTCATTCAGAACATCTGAAATTAAACATTCACGTTAAAAAAGAAATAAATGCCCAAGCATGGAAGGTTCTTCCAGCCAGTGTCCGAGAAAGCTCGTAGCGAGAGCTCTCTCAGAACTACAGGTTTTAGGGTTAAGACATGGGAGGCAAGTAAGGAGTAACATCACAGGATCGCAGAATCGCCACAGCGTTGCATCAGACTACCTACGCACCACACCACAAGTCAACCTACAGTGCTGTGTTTAAGTGAGTTTGAGCCCAGGTTAGCCCCAGCCTGATCTTTGCAGAATTACTGACATCTTAAGAGCCATTAAGTCTGCAGCTGATAAAGGCAGTGCTGAGGGGGAGAGCACATCTCCAAGTGGGCTTCCATTAGTGCTTCCACATACCACAAGCACAGCTGAGCCTGAGGTTTGAGAAAAGCTAAGCCATCACGGCAGTTTCTTCAAACACCCCAACACCAGCATCACGGTGTCAAGGAGGGTTTGCACACAAATCAGACGCTATTTCATCCCGAAGCACACCAGCCAGCAGCTGTTTAGGTGTACATAAAAGTCGAAGAAACAGATCTGTATCCACAGATCAGGGCGAGATTTGCTGCATATTCCAGCCTAACTCTGCACCTCAGAGTTAACAGAGGTGGAGAAACCCTCAAAGACAGAAGTAAGAGCGAGCTCAGTAAGGAACATATAATGAGACACTTTGCTAGTCTCAGAGCTCAGCAGAGCAAATCCCCAGCTGATTTCCAGATTTAGCAGTGCCCTGACAAGTCCCCAGGCAATCCTGACACAGGTTACGGCAGATCACTACAGTCGCCACAAAGATTGCAGGCGGCTGGACCATGCTCGGACAGGTCAGAAGTAGAACAGTCTCAGGAGACTGAACCTTTTGAAGGACGAGAGAGAAAAGCTGTATAGAAGAGAGAGATTAGAGAGAGAGAATAGCAAGAGAGAACTAGCAGTACAGAAGGGCTGATAATCAGAACACGGAAATCTGCACACACAGTTAGCTTGAAGCCACACTGACTACTCAGAGTTACTTCCAGGAACCAAAGTCACATACGCCATGGCCAGAAGGGGAACCAGGTTGCTCAGGGACTGCCCTGCTTCATCCACGGTGGAGCTTAGCACCCGCAGCGGCGATTACACAAATCTAATAGTTGTGTCTGCTCTACTTGCCTTTATGCCTTCCCCTGACATGCACGTACACCTAATGGCCACCATCTGTTGTCGATAACGTATCATCATCATGGAGCATTTTAATTTCCTGCTTGCTATCAGCACTACACAGGTAACCCTGGAAACTGTGCGCAAGATGTTCTGCCTGCGACGCATGTTCTTTCCTGAGAATGGCTGGCGACCCGCAAGACAGCGAGGCTGAACCCCAGAAGGCTTTTGGTCAGGTCAGAGAGCAGGAGTAGGGGGCACGAAAGAGGCCGGGAAACAATGCTGTAAAGGCACGTGGTTTAGTTCTTCAAGTTTCAGAGTCTAGTTTACACCAAAGACCACCGGAGAGGATTTTGGTTACGTGGGGGAGTATCACGCAGCTGTCTAACTATTAATTCAGCCAGGAATAGCCAGAACGCGAAACGGAGCCGGCTCAGAGGAGAGGGAAGGTCTGGGTTCTTAGCTCCCTCCCGCAGCACCCCGCAGACGTGCCATTTCTACAGCAGAAAGGCAAACAGTGGTTTCACAAAACCTGCTGCTACGCCCAGCCTTATTAAAACAAAACCCAAACGGATCCACGAAGCATCTCCAGAGTGACTGCTGCTGTTATTAGACCACCAGCCTGGCTCATAGCAGCCTTGCCAGGAGCGTATCAGAGCCCGATGTCAGATAGGGATTTACGTCAGCACACTCGCAACGCTGAGTGTTCCAAACAATCAGAAACGGCCACGTTCTCGTTAAGAGTCATGGTAATGTCTGACAGAGTGTAAGGCCAAAGGTACTTCAGCCATGAAGTCTCTCATATACGTGTACACACACAGCTAACCATGTGTAAAGTATATATTGATAGATCCTCCAAGACTTTTAGATAAAGGAACCTAACGCTGTTACTGGAATCCTGAAGAGCCGTGGAGACAGCTGTTAGCCCTATTTTAAAGTGGGGAGAAAAAAGAAGGTTGTGACCTGTGAAGTACCACGCAGGCAACTTCAGGAGCAAAACACATCCTGCTCACAGTAAAGCAATCAAACAGGAAGACAAAGGCCATCCATCCTTGCACATCCCCTTACGTTACAGCTCACGAGTCATAGCAGTTTTGGCAGTGCCCCCTCAGAGCCCAGGGAGTTTGGGAGGTGTGTGAGCAAACCGATCCACCCGTCAAGAATACAAGCACAGACCTCTGGGATGCCCAGTGCTTGTCATTTACACGGGTCTTGCCCATTCTGTACCTCAGATTTATTTCGTATTAGCAGCAAGTGGCAGCCAGATGGCAGATGCCTCGTGCCTGCAGCAAGGTGTGCTGGTGTTAGGCCAGCAGCAATGACTCCTCAAGGAGGAGGGCCAGAGTCCATACAGGAAGAAACCAGCTTAGCGTTAGCCCCTCCAGCAAGCCCTTCACAGCCTCCAGGTGATACCAGGAGACACAGGTAAAAGATGTGAGACTGAAGGCCACTACCTGAGTAAATGGCCACAGTGTTAACCCCAGTCACCCCTGTCCTGCTCTGGTCCCTCCTGCTCACACTTAAGCAACTGCGTCTCCTGAATATAAGCACAGCTTGAAGCCTGTGTATCCCTATACCTCGCCCTTCGAAATCCCAGCCTTGTGTTGAAGAAAGAAGAGTTAGGTAAGAGTAACTGTGACAAGATGCTGTGCTACGTCCCACGGCAGCACTTGTTTTCAGTAATTACACAGGAGAGACTTGTTTGGCAGGGACTCAAATGCTTTGTACAGGGAGGCAATACCGTTTTATCTAACTTTGTCTGCCTTATTTTTATTTAGTCACTCAATTTGCAGCAGCATCAAACAGGTCCCCGACAAGCCCAGCCTGCATCCTGCAGCACACACTCTGGAGAACTTAACAGAGCTGAAAGGACAGAGGGGGAAACAGGGCCTCAGATTAACCAGGCCAGAAGCAAAGCTGGGGACACACTTGTGCCTCTTTTCCCATTCTTTCCTTCTACCTACGAGGCCACACTGCCAGATTCACTACCTGGATTTCAGTTGCCTCATTTGGAGGCCCCAAAACATTTACCACTTAGGGAAAGAAAAAAAAAAGTCGTGTGTCCCCAGGCCTGTCCTAGCTCACACAGAGAAAGGTGGTTGTCACAGTGGCTGCATCTCTCAGCTCTAAAATACTCACCTGCCCTCCTTTAAGCAACTGCGTATTTTCCATCCCTTCCTCCCACGGCACCAGGATTTTCAAGGCAAATTGTAGAAGTCAACAGGTTTTTCAGAGGGAATAGGGCTAGAAGTAAACATCGCTAGCTTGGTTTCCTGACGAGGCAAGGCACCTACAGCTCAGATGGGCTCCTCCTCATCAGGCTGCTTTTCCTTAGTACAGAAAGGAAATTCTTCCTCTCAAACGAAGCAACACTTTTACTCTCTCCACGTACCACCTACGTAATCATCTGCGTCAGGAGGACAGGACTAGCGGAGCTTGGGAATGTTCATACATCGCTCCTTGGCCTCTCAGTCATACCTCCCCTCTCTTAGCCTTAATAAGCATCATAGCTGTGCTCAAGTGCTGCCCTTAAGCCCCATCTATAAGCCAAAGGAGGCTCCAAATAACACCATTTTCATTCTCCACCACCCCCGAAAAGCTAAGGGAATTTACTGCCTAAGTCCTTAAGCCTAGACACATCATGTTAGTGGAAAGCTAAGCTTGGAATTACAATATACGGCTGGGAGAAGGGGGCCAAGAACAAACATATCACGTGCAGTCAGGGCGCCCTCTCGAATATTGCAGCTTGTTTTTCCTTCAGCTCAGAGTTCAAGTCCTGGTGTAGAAACTTCAGTGGGCTCTTAAAACTGAATTCACCTCTGCTGCAAGTTAACTCCTGAAACAGAGCAGAATTTTTTTTGTCCCCCCCTTCACCTTCAAAAAGATTTGATAAAAGCAAAAATCAGAATGGGACGAGGACAGAATGAGAAAGACCTTTCAGAATTTTGCGTCAGAGCTAAGCAAAAAGACCTGTTGCTATAGAAACTATTTGCATGGCTTTAATGTAACACGGGAAAGCAAATGCACCTCTGGCAACCAAAGCAGCCCACCCGGCAGCTGGCTCTGTAGGTGAAGGGAATGAAGGATGGCAGCACTCTGCAGAGCAGCACTGCATCAGCTTCACAGCACTTCAGATGTCCCGCTTTTACTACAGCTGGGAGACAGAAGACTGGAGCGATGTCGGTGGTTCTCACTATGAGTTAGAGTACTTCCCTGCAGTGTTAAGTGGCTCCTACTGCTCCACTTCAGTCAGACTGGGGATTGCTCGGCGTCAAGAGGATGAAGGCAGTCTCGGAGATTCCGCAACACTGTTCCTCGAGCTCATCCATCCTGGCAGAGACAAGGTTCTCCTGATACCCTCCAGACAGCTCTAGACTGTCCTGACTGACAGCCCCTCTGCCCTCCATGGTGACCCATAATTCCCCTAAGTTGGAGCAGGCAAGCTGAGACCCTCGTAGGAACGGGATCAGGGTGGCGAGGGCAGGTCACACGTGCTGCGAGGGTGGCGGGGCAGGTCACACCATACCAGTGCCCTGGAGCTTGAACAAACTGAAGTACGGGCTGAGGTCAGGTACCTTCTGCTCTCCTGGGAACACCGTTACACCAAAACCAACAGCACGGGACCTTGGATGAACTAGGAACAGGTCATGGCTTGGAGGATACTCCAGAACAGCGGTGCCATGCTCCAGAGACCAAAGGCTAACCATTCCCAAAAGGGAAAGCAGCAGTTGGCAGATACCTTTGACTGTCTTTTTGTCAAGAACACGACATTTTCTTCATCTGAAGGCAGATGTCACTGACAGAGCAGGAGCCACGAGCTAACAGCTGGATGTGTGGTAGGGAAACCAACAGAC